TATATATATATATATATATATATATATATATATATATATATATATATTACAAGTTTACAACAGTCGATTTTACGCGTTTAGACATGTACGTAACCTATTGAATTGTCTGTAAATGTATAAGTGACTTATTGCTGTAATGATAATGTTTTATAGGTTATTTTTTTACTTGCGCCGTGTTTGATGAATGTATAAGCAATGTATCTTTGTTGATAGATATACGATTTCATATTGTTCCTAAATTTTATAGTAGTATTTAGTACATCGCCATTTTCTTTCATATGCATTCGTGCAAGAATGAAAACTAATTGTAATTGTAATACTGAGATATCAAAGGGAGAATAAATGCGCAATATTTGCAGTATGAAAGAAATAATTGATTGTATATTTCGCATTGAACTCATATTTTAATTAATATAACATATGTAACACAGAGTATGTAGTATATAATCATGTATATCATATAGCATTGAAAAATCGAATACACTTATCCGCACGCACGCACACAGGCAGATACGCCCGTACGCACGCAAATACGCGCGTACACGCATACACATAGGCGTGCGCGCCGCACGCGAGCACACACACGCGCGCACGCATGCGGGGACACGTGCCCCGCACGCACTCGCAGACGCAAGCGCGCACATTCGTGTCGCACGTACACCCACGATTACGCGCGTGCGTACGCAAGCAAACATGAATAGACATGACCGGTGACCGGTTGACCGTCGTACTCAAAACTAATTATTTTGAATCATTATTGAAATCATTTAACCGCGGTAAAATTATTGACCTTATACCCAATCAGAGGTCGTGTTACACATAATTCAACCGCGGATAAATGATTTCAACCGCGGTTAAACTATGTGTAACAAGGCCTCTGATTGGGTAAAAGGGCCATAATTTAACCGCGGTTGACTTATTTTTACCGCGGTAAAAATAAATATTTCTAAGTAGGGCCTACGATGGCCAACCATACACGCCCGTAAAATCAAAATCAATATGCAAGTACTGCTGCATTATTACATATTATATATTGATTCAAATCAAGTTGCTGAAATAAGATATATAGAATTTGCTTATTGCAGATTAAGCCTCATGCGAGATGTGTTGCACTTGCACCATCAAAACTAAATGCTACTATATGTGTAAGCAAGAAAAGGGATTCTCTACATGAAAAACGTTTTCTGTCGCATAGCATGCTGCCAACTGCGAGAAATTTATAGCACGTACAGACCGTACTTGAATTCGAATCTATCTACATTAACACTAGTCCGGGAATAAACACACATTACATAACACACTGCATTAGGGGCCTACTAGCGTAACGCGAACATCGGGGAACACGGCCCCACTTATATATATATATATATTCTCTCTTTCCTTCTCTCTTTTCTGCTGCGGCTCGCTCTCTCTCTCTCTCTCTCTCTCATCTCTCTTCTCTCTCTCTTTCTCTCCCCTCTCTCTCTGTCTCTCTCTCTCGCCTCTCTCTCTCTCTCTCTTCTTCTCCATCTTCTCTTCTTCTCACTCTCGCTCTCTCTTCTCTCTCTCTCTCTTCTCTCTCTCTCTCTCCCATATATATATATATATATTATATATATATATATATATATATTATATATATATATATACACGTAGCTAACGTGTCATTACATTCTAATATGGCTGCTTTCTCGACCTTTTGTGAAGACGGATCGCCCGAACGAAACTAGAGACAAGCTTGACTATCCTTGAAATGGCGTCATGCCAGATGCGATCTCTGAAGCTACAGCGCAGCAGCAGCAAGAAGGCAGCAGCAGGAGTTGACATCGGCGACATGCAGGGAGCTGTACCGACGTGCTTCGTCGGCTCCCGTGCATGACGGAATTACAGCAGGCGGGTTCCTGGCGCGCCCACCGCCCGGTGTTAAGCGAAGCACTGCCGGCAACGCATATCTCGATATGATCAAGCCGATGAGGAATTGACGCCGGCCCGACGATTGCGGTGTCGCGTGACGAAGGATCGGTGATCAAATGGCGGCGACTCTCGTGGGCGCGATTACTTTGTGCGACGTTCCCCACGCAGCTGTACTCGAACATACGAGCAAGCCGCCGCGATGCGAGGCATACGGCGCAACTACTTAACGATATTTAAATTTGCCGTTGTTCCTATCACCCTCTCACACGGATCTATTTGCGAAGTATCGAGCACTTAGTCTAGACATGGCCCTAACGCCCTGGTTTTCCCACCGACGTGCGCAATCGAAACGCATTCCCGGAGTCTGCGTCCAGGCGCCATGTCAGCGGGAACCTATAATGTGCGAAGCGGGCGGCTAGTGTGCGCGGCCCTGGCTAAGACGTGAAATTCCGGCTGGGACTCAGCTCCTCCTCCCCTCTCCGTAGCACCTCCTCCCTCCGTGCCTCCTCATCCCTCTCCGGAGCACGTCCTCCCCCTGTGCCTCCTCCTACCTCTCCGTACCACCTCCTTCCCTCCGTGCCTTCTCCTCCTCCCTCTCCGTACTACCTCTTCCCCTCCGTGCCTTCTCCTCCTCCCTCTCCGTACCACCTCCTCCCCTCCGTGTCTCCTCCCTCTCCGTACAACCTCCATCCCTCCGTGCCTTCTCCTCCTCCCTCTCCGTGCCTTCTCCTCCTCCCTCTCCGTGCCTTCTCCTCCTCCCTCTCCGTGCCTTCTCCTCCTCCCTCTCCGTAGCACCTCCTCCTCTCCGTACCACCTCCCCCTCTCCGTACCACCTCCTCTCCGTGCCTTCTTCTCCTCCCTCTCCGTACCACCTCCTCCCCCCCCTGCTGCTGCTGCTGCAGCTTTCTGCTGACTCCCTGCAGGACAGTCTAGCGGAAACAGGCGCGTGCTACCGGTCGATGAATAGCTCCATAGAAATAACAAAGATGAAAAGTGGGCGGGGTCTATTTTTATCCTCCAATCACAGGTCGGAGCAATTCCTCTGTTTAGACGCATGTAAGATGAACCATCTATATATGTAGTCCATCTAGATACGTACCTATGAATAGCGCAGGCACGACTGCCACGCGTAAGCATCCAATCACAACGTTGGCCAACCCTTTTTAGACACGCCTTCGTAAACGTACTGCACTATAAACGTGACCGACGGCAATTTTCATCCAGTGCAGCAGATTTAGGGTATCACTCACTATTATACCAACCTACTCAGCATCCAGTTGATACAAATTACTTTTGAGGCCGTGTTTGAACTAATTAGTGCGTCATACTGAACCAGAGCTTATGACAGACGGGTACATTTCAGAAATGTCTGTTTCTACTGGAACGGAAAAGATGTTAACCACGCAGCGAAAGGTAAAGCAAATGGATATCAGTTTCGATGAATTTAGGAAACGGAATCAATGCTAAAATAAGAAAATTAATATATATATATATATATATATATATATTAATATATTATATATTAATTGTGTTTATGAACAGTTATATGCTATCAAAATAGAATTCATTCGCGATCAGATTGAAATTTTATCCTATCTCTTATATCAACCAACTCTTGCTGTCGGTATCATATCTGTGATTCCGCTAGTATATCATATTCTATTACTGTCTTACAGAGCTCAAAACCGTTGATGGAAAAGAAACGAAGAGCAAGGATTAACAGGTGTCTAACAGAATTGGAGTTCCTTATTCTTGATGCTAGGAAGAACGAAGTGAGTTCATACCTACAATGATCGTATTATATGTTCAACTATACTATTATGGCCAGCCGAATACAAAACGGATTTTTCCATGTCCTCCGCTTCACCGTCTCTCTCGCGCGCGCGCTCTCTCTCTCTCTCTCTCTCTCTCTCTCTCTCTCTCTCTCTCTCTCTCTGCTCTCTCTCTCTCTTTCTTCTCTCTTTCGCGCGGCTCGCTCTCTCTCTCTCTCTCTCTCTCTCTCTCTCTCTCTCTCTTTCTCTCCACCTCTCTCTCTGTCCTCTCTCTCGACCTTCTCTCTCTCTCTCTCTCTTCCCATCTTCTCTTCTCTCACTCTCGCTCTCTCTTCTCTCTCTCTCTCTTCTCTCTCTCTCTCATCCCATATATATATATATATATATATATATATATATATATTATATTATATATATTATATTACACGTACGCTAACGTGGTATTACATCTAATATGGCTGCTCTTCTCGACCTTTTGTTGAAGACGGAATCGCCCGAACGAAACTAGAGAAAGCTTGACATCTTGAAATGGCGTCATGCAGATGCGATTCTGAAGCTACGCGCAGCAGCAGCAAGAAGCAGCAGCAGAGGACATCGCGAATGCAGGGAGCGTACCGACGTGCCTTCGTCGGCTCCCGTGCATGACGGAATTACAGCAGGCGGGTTCCTGGCCGCCGCCCAACCGCCCGGTGTTAACGAACACTGCCCGGCAACGCATATCTCGATATGATTCAAGCCGAGAGAATTTGACTGCCGGCCCGACGATTGCGGTGTCGCGCTGACGAAGGATCGGTTGATCCAAATGGCGGCACTACTCGTGGGCGCGGATACTTTGTGCCGACGTCCCGCAAGCAGCTGACGAAACATCGAGCAAGCGCCCGATGCGACGGCATACGGCGCAAACTACTTACGATATTTAAATTTGCCGTTGTTCCTATCACCCTCTCACACGCGATCTATTCTGCGAGTATCGAGCATTCAGTCTAGACATGCCTAACGCCCTCGGTTTTCCCACCGACGTGCGCAATCGAACGCATTCCCGAGTCTGCGTCCAGGCGCCATGTCGCGGAACCTTAATGTGCGAAGCGGGCGGCTAGTGTGGCGGCCTCTGTAAGACGTGAAATTCCGCTGGACTCAGATATATATATATATATATATTATATATATATATATATATATATATATATATTATATATATTAAAGTTGTACACAGTCGATTTACGCGTTTAGACATTCGTACTGTAACCTATTGAAATTGTCTGTTAATGTATAAGTACTTATTGCTGTAATGATAATGTTTATAAAGTGTTATTTTCTTTTACTTTGCGCCTGTGCTTTTGCATGAATGTATAAGCAATGTTTCTTTTGTTTTGCATAGATTATTACGATTTCATATTGTTCCTTTAAATTTTATAGTAGTATTTAGTACATCGCATTTTCTTTCATTATGCATTCGTGGCCGAAGAATGAAAAACTAATTGTAATGATTACTGGAATATCATAAGGCGTAGAATAATAGCGCAATATTTGCAGTATGAAAGAAATAATTGTTGTATATTTTCGCATTGAACTCATATTTTAATTAATAATACATATGTTAACACAGAGTATGTAGTATACAACATTTATATCATATTAGCATTGAAAAATTCGAATACACTTATCCCGCCCACGCACGCACACAGCCAGATACGCCCTGTACGCACGCAAAAATACGCGCGATACACGCATACACATAGGCGTGCGCGCCCAGCACTGCCGAGCACACACACGCGCGCACGCATGCGCGGGGACACGTGCCCGCACGCACTCGTCATGACGCAAGCTGCGCGCACATTCGTGCTTCGCCACGTCACACGGATTACGCGCGTGCGTACGCAAGCAAACATAATAGACGATGACCGGTGACGCGGTGACCGTCGTACTCAAAAACTAATTTTATTTTGAATCATTATATGAAATCATTTAACCGCTGGTTAAAAATTATTGACCTTATACCCAATCAGAGGTCGTGTTACACATAAAAACCGCGGATAATATGATTTCAACCGCGGTTAAACTATGTGTAACAAGGCCTCTGATTGGGTAAAAGGGCCATAATTTACGCGGCTTGACTTATTTTTACGCGCGGTAAAATAAATATTTCTAAGTAGGGCCTACGATGCCAACCATACACGCCCGTAAAATCAAAATCAATAATGCAAGTACTGCTGCATTATTACATAATTTATATATTGATTCAAATCAAGTTGCTGAAATAAGATATATAGAATTTGCTATTGCAGATTAAGCCTCATGCGAGCATGTGTTGCACTTGCACCATCAAAACTAAATGCTACTATACGTGTAAGCAAGAAAAGGGATTCTCTACATGAAAACGTTTTCTGTCGCATAGCATGCTGCCAATGCGACTGAGAAATTTATAGCACGTACAGACCGTACTTGAATTCGAATCTATCTACATTAAACACTAGTCCGGGAATAAACACACATTACATAACACACTGCATTAGGGCCTACTAGTCGTAACGCGAACATCGGGGAACACGGCCCCACTTATTATATATATATATTGTATAACCATATTATCATTTAATATATATATATATATTGTATAACATATTATTATATATATATATATATATATATTTATTGTATAACATATTATATATATATATATATATATATTGTATAACAAATATATATAATATTTGTCATTATTCACCCCTGATATATATATATGACAAATGATCTTTGTGCGTTTCCATCTAACAACTATCTGTATTCAAGCACTTGCGGATGTCACTATCCCGGACTCATGACGTCATCTAGCCGTTCGCGCATTTATAGCGACCGACTCCGTGTATGGAGTAATTGCCTGATCTCACGCTGGTGAGATTTTCGCTGTGAGCGAGCACAGACAGGCGATCACTGCTGCGAGAAATAAAGCATCGCTTTCCGACAGTCAACAGCACTGCTAATGATACCGGCACAATGCATAGCGGCTCGTCGCTCGTAAATAAAGCATCGCTTTCGCGCAGTCAACAGCCCTGCTAATGATACCGCCACAATGCCGCGTGTGGGAACAGGAATCGCATGTATTCTTGTCGGTGACCCGCCGAGTAAGGCGTACGAACAAGCACGCGGGGCTAGGGTACATAATAAGCTATAATAACCGGCCGCGATTGTCTTAATTCCCTTGTCCGGACCACTCGTCTTGGACTAATACTCTCGAATCGCACTCACTTGAGTCTTGAGCCGCTTTTGCGCGCGCCGAAAATAAAAGGCTTTACCACTTCGCCTGAGATAATGATGTTGGAGCTATGCACGCGACAAGGCGTTCAGCTTGTCATGAATGCCTTTACACCACCGTCTTACGCCGTAAGTGACTCTTTTCTTTCTCTCACTATGATATCGAAGGGAAGACAATAATAGAGCTACGGCAAACATTTTGTTAGCCCGAGGTTAACTGGGAATAGCATCTCGTGCCGATTAGTATAGGATCACTATGTATACTATGCTGAGTTGTGGTGATATTGTGTACCTCAATAAGATAGATAGCTGCTCAATACTGGGGTATAATGTGTAGTAAAGATATCGATGAAAAAGAAATAAAGATATAAACTCAATAATAAAGATATAAGGTGTAAAGATAAAGAGTTCGTAATTCATACACGCAGTTTCTCCACATGTCGTATTATATGATTGTAGAATATTGTTTCCTGTTTACTTCATATGCATAACCCCCATTTCTAATATACATTCACACATTTTCCTATCTCTGAAGAGATAGACTCGTAGATGAAAAATCACTCACAAGGTCAATAGGTGACTCATAGGTGACAACGTATGCATCAATGGCGCAGAAATAACAATTAGGAATATAAGCGCATAGAATGCATAACAAGCGCAGCTGACTGTACAAAAATATTTTTATTCACAGAATAGCATAACAAGCCAATATTAATTACCATTTTGAAATATAAATTACAAAAGATCAACTAGAGCGCCCAACACACACAATTTCATAGGAAACAAGGCACGACCAATGACAGAAGCCGTATAAATTGATAAAAGAAAAACAAGAAATTAACAAGGTGCTGCACAAAATCAATCAATGAAACCAGAGGAGTTGAATCCTACAACCATTAAAATTAACCAAATTATAGGACATAGATTACTATAACCTAGTCAAAACGTGTACTCACATTTTTCGAGAGCACACAAACGACTAATTCATATAAGGAAAACTTCGGATGAAGACTCGGTTATACTATTAACAGCTACCCTCTGTTAGGTGAGTGACCACACCAGAGGGAAATAACCGAAACACGTTTTTTGGTTTCCCAGTTTCATTAGATCAGTTCAAAGAAATAAATCCATAGATGCGACACGCGTCACACATTGACACTGGTTGACACTTACGGTCGACTGGTTGACACTTGCGGGTAACTGGACGTATAGATTTGTCTGTGTCATTCCAAGTAGTTTAATATCATTAACACGTCCAGAGTTTGACAAATGTCTATGTGATGCACTGCCTCACCTGTTTGTTTATAAATTGGCAGCAGGGACGTACTTTGAGTTTTTACTTTGAGCTTTTCTTCTTCTAAAAGCTAGCGAATGTCTGTCAGAAATATAGTCCCCACTTAAGCTCCTATTCCTTAATTTCCTATGCAGTCTATCACCTGTTTATGCATCACACTAAACATACCAGTAGGCCCTACGCTGCTTTTGCTAAATCTTTCTCTGCTAAATGAAAGATCCTATGATAAGACAATTGACATTTGTATAATGAATACACGAGGTTTCGAAAGTGAGACTGCGCAACTTGGTTACAAAAAGCCATGAATTAGCAGAATCGCGTGCGACGAAGCTCATAAGAATATGTAAAAATCGTTGTTCGTCTCTACACCTGTCAGTGAGCGGATAGGTAGGATGTGTGCATGGGCAAGAAATATAGCAATGCGAAAATCACGCTACGTGATTAGAGAAACATACCCGTGTAATATTCAATTAAATATTGTACGCCATCAAATCAGCACACGCAACATTGTAACAACGAGTTGATTAAAATCCGCTGTAAAATTTCACGACCACTTTCATAAAAAATAACATAGCATGACATTAAATTGATCGCATCAGATGACATTTAACATATCAATATATACGCGCGTATTCAACGCTAACATATCAAAGCTCGTAAACCAAAATGACTTTTTTCAAGGACAAATACTAACCTCATGCTGTCTAGAAATCGATGACGTTCAACTTACATGCAATTCAATTATCTACACGCATGACTATATAATAACTCATTTATTCCTTTGTTATATTAATTAGGCACGTAAAAGCATGGACGTGTTGTTAAGACAATCAGAGCACATGAAATTCTGGACGGCTGAACGGTGTGTCAGTCTATTTGACGCGCAGGAATCACACAAGTTACTACCGTATCAGTTAGGATGGGAAAACAATTTATGGCTAACCATACACACCCTCACTCGCTTCCTCAGACGTCCACGCGTTCATGCCGAATATACGTTAGACCTTCATTTAGATGGAATTAAATTCCAAAATGGCGTTCGGTTGTACGTGGACCGAGGATACGAGTTGTCAGCCATCGTATCTGGTAGTGAGGTAAACAAATTAGACAGATATTCTTTGCCAGAATATAGCAGGTGGGCGGGGAGTGCACCGACTTTCACGTCAGCTTCTTACAATTAATTATGTGGTAGCAATTACCCACGGGAAACGTTCTACAGTGCGAATTACAACGGACATAATACAAACATCGAACATTTGTGTGGTTAAATGCCGGCCGGCATTAATATAAAATCGTCGTATAGCACCTATTAGCTCTAGACCATTATAAACACACTAACATGTTGTTACCTTCTATAAGTGACCGTTACGATAACAGTTATCACATGTAACAATCATCAGGAGATGAACAAGCACAAGCGGAAACTTCGCCGAGTAGAAAGCGGTGCTATTTCTCACATCCATTAATCGTCACTAGTGTATTAATAACATTAATTCACAGTCGCAATGTCGCACAAGTCATTAACGGGTCGACCCAGAAATCCCAACATCGTACCCTGTCTCATGAGTACTATGTGTGTACAACAACATTTAGTGATTTTAGTGGGTACAAAACGTATGAGCTATATACCAAAATCGTTCATGCGCCTAGAAAAGTTCATCATATACGCTGACATTACTAACATATCAAAATTCAGGAGTGTGAAGTTTAAATTGCATATGGTTCGAGTCAACCTGAGCGATGATTACGAGATGGTGCATTCAAAGCATCCGTTTTTATCACATTAATTAACCATATTAATTAAAGTCGTTTCAACGCATAAATCTTTCTTGACGAAAGAGCATCATAGCATGTTTACAGCACAGATATAGCATCATACAATCATCTACTGATACGAAAAAAATTCCATGCAATCACGGTTATATTCTAACCTTTCGTAACTCGAATTTACGATATGCCTTTCAGTTTGCTGCGTGGCACCAGCCTGTGTTCGTGAAGGGTGGGTGACGGACTTCATACGGTGGATGAGGTACTGATGTAGTTGAACACTTGCAGCGGTAGTTCCTTCACGAACATTCCTGTCTCAGTCGGATAAAGCTACAACACAGGAAACACCGAATATGTAAGTTCACGCGAACGCATATGCAGCCACCGACGCACCGAGAGGAGTGTAACAACAGAATTTTAGGCGTATTTGTGATAATTTGACGTCATAGGCATACGTTTCCCACAGTTCTGAAAGCAATGCAGTTGGTGCGAGCGGTTAATTGGGGATTAGTTAAGCATAAGTCATGTAGGAATGGCGCGCAATACACAACTGCCATTCTAACGCCGTTGATTCAGGAACTATTTGAAATATAACGATCGTTCAAGTTAAAAACCGACTGGTTTGACAATGTTCGTTTTAAACAACTTAGTTTAACAACTCAAACAAAGTTTTAAAAATAACCCGTGGAATGTTACACCAGCAAGAAACGTCCATTAGCCTACATCGTGGCAAGCTACATGTAAACGAAACAATTACGCAATAGCAATAGGAATTAGGAAAAGCATGTGCACCGTGTGCGGCCGGGGCCGTATCTGTATTCGAAAACGCGAGCACAAATTATTGGACGTCGATTTCATTTCATGGAAAACAGTAATACTATTCAACCTTTGTGCATGTGATAGCGTGCGTGTGCAAAGGCGCGTGTTTGTGAGCATACTAGTATCGGAAGTAGATAATAGGGATATATTCCCAGTTGATGAACGAGGCAACACCCTCTATTAACTTACGCAAGCACACGCACGCACGCACACACACGCACGCACGTACACACACGCACGCACGCACACACACGCATGCATCCCCCCACACACACACGCGCGAACGCCCACGCATGCACACACACACACGCACGCACGCACACACACGCATGCATCCCCCCGTCCACACACACACGCTCGCGCCCACACACACACGTACACACGCACACACACGCATGCATCCCCCCGCCCACACACACACGCACGCGCCCACACACACACGCACGTACACACACACACACGCACGAGCCAACACACACACGCACGCACGCACGCACACGCATGCATCCCCCCGCCCACACACACACGCGCGAATGCCCACGCACACACGTACACACACACACGCACGCACGCGCATGCATCCCCCCGCCCACACACACACGCGCGAGTGCCCACGCACACACGTACACACACACGCACGCACGCACGCACGCACGCACGCACACACGAGAAGCTCCTGTAAGTATTTTGCCTACCACCGACAATCCGTGTTGCAGTACATGATGCATGATTGTATCATGATTACATATTACAATAATGATTTCCTTGCGAATATTTGGTTGTTTAGATATCCAGTGGCGGATCCGGGGTGGGGGGCGCACAGGGGGCGGTCGCCCCCCCCTAGAATTTAGTCCTCTCTAGTACTAAACATCTCCCCTCGGGCGCTTCGTGCCCTTGAGCCCTTGAGCCCATGATTCGCCCCTCCCCCCCTTTAGAATTCACTTCTGGACCCGCCACTCGATATCTGCTTTTCATACATTGTAATGCAGGCTGTTAACAAAATAACAAACAAGGAACAAGAAAAATAACCAAACAGAGTTAGGTCTTGGTTAATTTTGTCATCTGGTCATGCAAGCAATGTCGCACCACAAGTGGTGCTGTTAGTTTTATAGTAGAACTGTAAGCGTCATGAAATAACCATTAGCAATGCCTTAGACAACCAAAGCCGACAGATTCCACTACGCGCAAACACATGCGAAATTAAATATGCAGCAATGCATGTACGTGCTGCGTACAAACTCACTCCATGAATCTCCCCGACTGTGTTCTAGTAGAAGGCCTAATCTGACGAGGTACGATTGTTACAACAATCACTGGAACCTATCAGGAAAATTTCAACAGAAACATCGACAGTCTAACAGCAACTACTAAAGTGTGGGGCATTACGCCTATGGTTGCATGGCCATCGTTCTCTCGAAAAAATTATTTTTACTGCGGTAGAAATAATTCAACCACGGTTAAATTATGGCCCTTTTACCTAATCAGAGGCCTTGTTCCACATAATTTAACATTTATCTGCAGTTAAATTATGTGTAACAAGGACTCTGATTGGGTAAAAGGCCAATAATTTCGCCGCGGTTAAATTATTTTTGTCGCAGTAAAAATAATTATTTCCGAGTACGATGGCCAACCATATACGCCTTTCTTACCACATTTTGCTCTACCGTGACCAGCTACACAGACGTGCAGTGTGAAGACGGTAAAGAAAAATGAAACCGTTTTACTAGTATTAACACATGTATTAATAACATGCAGTAGTAACATGAAAAACACCATACGCCCTATACGCCATACTAAATATTACACATTTAAATGCATCTCTAGTTCATTTACTACCAGACAGGCTATTCAGTATAGTAGTATTATAACACCTATTTAGTAATAGAGATTGACGAAGACATCTGTATTATGTTTATAATAGCTCCCACATACATTGCTGTGATACACAAACAAAAGCAAGTATAACTACACAGCAGGCATACAGACGATAGTGAGACACACATAGCAAGGTGAAAAGCTACAAAGTAGACACAAAGATGATGTTAACAACCATACCTACAACAACGTGGTCACGTCTGTAGGGCTAAACATCACACACATTGGTGCAAGTTATGTACAACGAGTACAACGATTTTATTTACAACAAACACACTACCTAGACGTAATTTACACGACAAAAAATAGCTTCTCTCTAGCATGTGTGTCACATGCATGTCGAGTCGACAACTCTATGAGGGTTAGCACAGTGTACACACAAACACACACACACATGTATGTGACAGATACCGTGTGCAGCGTGTGCAGAGAAAAACAATCGCGGTGCGACGGAAATAAGATACGTACATTTTCGATGAGAGCCGAGAGCTTCTCGACCATGTCGTTGTAGTTGTTCTTCATGGACTCGTGGTACTCTGCCTGCTCGGCCCCGATCAGCTTGGCATTCAGCTCTAGAGCGTCACCGCACACGTGAACGAACGCCCTGCATACACACAAACACACACTAAAGTTACGATATGTCAATACACAAGCCTCCAGCAGACATGTGTGGAGCAGCATTTCACCTTAATTTCATTCCTTTTTGTGCGACGGACGTACCCTCAAGTTAAGAAACACCAACACGGTGCTCATATGAACGTGGAGATAAATTGAGAGGAATATGTTGTGATATTCATTGTGATGACGTAATTGCTGTGATGTCTACGACTGTGCCAATCTCGACGTTAATCGCAATTAACATACTGGTATTTATAATATTACATTAATTAATTTTGATGTTGTGGAACAGACTAGGCATACCTAAATGCTTCTTTCAGACTCTTGATGTGTTCTTTATCGTATTTCTTCTCCATTTCCTTCCCCAAGAATGTATTTGCATAAGCTAATGGACCAGCATGGACCTGTAATAAAAGCATAGGTTTTAATTATCGATACAATAAAATAACATAAATGAGTTATGTAAGAATATATATTTTACTAGCTGCTAGCTTAGTCGTGGTGCCACTGTTTCATATAAACACAGTTTCATGAAGCTACAAAATCAAGTCAGTGCTAATCAAAGTTTAACAAAATACATATGCACACATTACCTTGTGCTAGCATACAGCTTACCTTCACGCTAACGAATACTAGCGCACTACTTACTTACATACTAAACAAACATAGAGATTAGCTGCATATACAACATATATAATTATTATATTATATTATATTATATATATTAATATATCATATTATTATAATATTATTATATATGATATAAATATAATATATATATATATAATATTATTAGATATCATTGCACACAGTGGAGTGTGCGGCGTGCGTGTACCTGCACACTGACGCTGCCCTGTAGTCGTAGCTGCAGCTTGATCATGTCATGAGGCTCTCGCAGTAGCACCTCGTTCAGCTCACACACACGGTTGTGCATCTCATCGATGGCCACCTCTAGTGGCGCGAGGTTCACGACTTCCTTCCCAAAGACGGGCACGCGCTTCTTCACGTAGGGGAAGCTGTGCAGAGCTACAATGCACGACAGGAAAGTTGGTGTCAGTCTACACTGAGACTGCGAAATGGAGCAGTGAGCAAGTGTACGCAGTTGTGCTTTTGTCGTAATGTCCAGTTACTGAATTATAGGTTATTTACTGATTTAAGATATGTATATAGCCTTGAAATAATAATAATAAGCACCTAAAATTATAATTATGTATTTTATAAATATATGATTAAATATAAGGATTGATTGAAATGTATTATTAATGTTATACCTGTATACGGGACATCATATTTAGAATTCATTTTCTGATATAAAATATTCATATACAGTTTACTATATCAACCGCCAAAGACAAGCAGAGACTACAACACTGGATGTTAGTGATATTGATGCCTTACTCGTCAGAATAGTCCGGCGTTTGCATTGCTCTTCCAGTAATCCGTGCGCTTTCTTACTGTTAGGGATGAATGGCGTTTCATACACAAAGTGCCTGATGTTGTTGTTTCGCTCAAAATCTGTGATTCTCTCATCACCTTCTTGGTCCTTGAAGAATGGTCGTACAAACGATATTTGTATGTAAGCAAACTTCGGATCTAACTCTGTCGGGTCAACCTATAAAAGTAGAAAATTCCACTGAGTACAAGATATGACAATTTCAGTATTCGTAAAAAAATACATGATGCAATAAAAGCATCATCAGATAGATCATCGACTAGAAGTGAAAGATCGACATTAAGAGCAGCTCACACTCACAAGCAATGATATAGAAATACATGCTTATAGAGAGAAAAAATATAAGAAATATTAAATCATCTCTAAAACATATAGAGTTAAAGTAATTACGTCACCATAAATAGTAAAAGTAAAAAAAACATTTCCACTTTCTCACAAAATGTAAGTAATTCTGTTCACTTTTTATGGTTAAATTGCTGCATTATACTTCCTATTTTACTATATTGTTCGATGTAAACATATACTCATGACTCATACATAGCCCATAGCAAGCAATTAATTTCAGGATCATAATATCAAATCGTCCAGGTTTTTTTTGATTTTTAACTAGTTGAGAAACAATCTTATCAGGTAAGAATTTGACGATACATTTAATCCCATTAGTACTTACTTTTAATGTAAAAAAATGACAAATTAAAAAACAACAATGCATTTTTAGACAATTAACTGAAGGGAAGACTCACCACTATCAGATACTTTACTCGTACGCCTCCGGAACAAAGTGATGCAACTAACTACTGCTGCCTGCTACACTGACTAACACGCTGATACAGACTATGAGTATGAACACATAGTTAGAACTATACTCTGGTAAACCCATACATGCACAGCACTTACAGGGTTCGAGTCCTGGATAAGCTTGACTGTATCCTTGCCGTACTTCTCCGAGTAGAGATTTCGCAGCCGCTCAGAGATCTCGGCCAAATTCGTCACTTTCGGCTCCTTGTATATGTACTCTTTGCCATCCTCCATGTCGAAATGCTGTCGAAAATTATCCACAAATGTCAGACACGCCCGAACTACTACGTATCATTGTAATTGCCTAGTTATGCGAATGTTAGCAGAGTCTTATAAACGCGTGTAAAACACGAACGTACACTGAATCAACCACTACATATAAGATAGATGAAGATGTGTCAGCCTAGTGCTAACGCTTTCTTTTCTGCTACTGCAGTGAGTTCAGAAGCATAGACATTCCCTGTTGCCTCTACTCACACTGATTGAGAACTTCACATTACTCACATTACATGATAACGATTTACTGGATTACGCTATGAACTCTTTGTCGCTGTGCAGTAATAGAGGCAAAGCTAAATCCAGTTGACCACTTTCTAGAACTGCCCACTTAATGTTTTTATTTTTTTGTTTTGTTTACCTGTCCGTAGAAGGCCACGCGGAAGAAGGTGCCGAGGAGTCGCTTGCCTTGCTGCAGCACGTCCACAACCTTGCTGTAGGCCTGGTGAAGCTTGCCGTACGCCTCCGAGATTGCCTGCAGTCAGCCACACGCACACGTTCCAAAATGTTAGCGATTATATTTAATTATATATTTTTTATAATATCATTATACGAAGATAAGCAGCAAATGCACAACTTGGATCGTCACGAGAGACAGCACAAGAAACGGCTTCATTCGTATGGCACAACTATAAAGCTGCTAAAACTACCCTCAAAACAAAACATACCCCTCTCCCTACTGCCCTTTTTCGCTATTGACATGCAATTGCAAGCTTGCCATACTTTTTTTCTAGAACCATAAATCTGGATCACACATTCTATAATGGAGGTGCTATTGCACGAATGGATGGTCTTATTTGTACTCATGTACACAGTAATATCTGCAACGTGCCTCTTAAATATTACACTTTCCCTACCACCTTTCAATCTCTGAATTATATACCAACTTTTAACAATCTAGCTCAAACAAAATTGATAAAGTTGTCGACAAAATAACAGATGAACAGCACCAGTTACTAGTGATTACTACCGGTTACAGTAACGGCTACTAACAGCTACTAATGGTTACTACCAGTTATAGTAACAGTTACTAACAGCTACTAATGGTTACTACCAGTTACAGTAACAGCTACTAATGGTTACTACCTGGTAGTTCCTTTGCTTTTCATAGATGGGAATGATGAGTTTGTAGACCTCTCCCATCATCTCCCAGCGCTCTGCCTTGTCTAGCGAGTAAGCACACATCTCTAACTTCTCCACTAGTGTGTCCTACAAGGTAAAGGAGAAGCAAAATCAGTCATACGTCAGATCGACGATACAACACATTCAGATAAGTAATAAAATACACTTGCTAGAATAATTTTACTACAATATAACAGCAATGGCATGGCTAACACACCAGAACTAACGAAGACTATAGAATGGTAGGTAAATTAGATCATTAAACTTAACTCGTTAACCTTAATTTAACTATAACACCATTATCATGAGTGTATGAATATTGAACTTGACATACATAGGTTCACGTTGATACTTAATTACTGTTCACAATCTAACAGTAAATTTTACCTTGTGAGAAATCACCACGTATTAGCAATACTGCAGCTCACCTCTGTGTATTTATTATTATATTATTATTACCTCTGTGTATTTATTATTATATTATTATTACCTCTGTGTAGGAGATGTCCTGCATGCTGCCAGCATCCTCCTTCATATTCGACTCATCTACGCTGATGTTAGGAGACATGTTCACGAAGGCTGAACAGCCGAGGCTATACACGCCTGTTATAAATACCAAAGCAGCAAGGGTTATACACACCTGTTATATAAATAAGAGAGCAGTATGGACTACATGCAATTATCAAAAATCATAAAGCTGTATGGACTACACTCACTTATTTGCAGAGCAGTATAGACTACATACACCTATTATAAATGACAGAGAAGCATGGACTTTACACACCTGCCATACATTACAGAGTGGCATAGCTATACACAACTGTTATAAATTACATAGTTGCATGGACTATACACACCTATTATATATTACAGAATAGCATGTGGCTATAGACAACTGTCCCAATTGATAATCGACCCAGGACCACACATACACGATGCTACATCTTCATCGTAAAAACACTTTCTGAATTAGAATCGATTCACTTCGAAGAAACCGATATTGCTCACAGCGACGCAATCTAGACTCGAGACGATTCTCCGCGCACCCACCTTTTCGTTTGAGGTACTCGGCCACCAGGGCGGCGATGTGCATGTAGCAGTGGGCGACCTCGGACAGGTTTCCGTAGTGGCCGTGTATGCGTGCCATGTTCTCAAGCCAGGTGTGTCGTAGCTCGGGCGTGCTCGCGTACGAGTTAGCGAGGCTGTGCTGCAGGTCTACAAGCATCTCCGGGTCGTTCTCGTGCTCCTTCATCTGTGGTGGCGTGAAGCACATGTACATAGTACACACAGACACGTACACACACAGACACACACACACAGAGACACACACGCACACGCATGCGCGCGCACGCACGCACGCACGAACACACACACACAAACACACATATCTCTGGGTCGTTCTCGTGCTCCTTCATCTGTGGTGGCGTGAAGCACATGTACATAGTACACACAGACACGTACACACACAGACACACACACACAGAGACACACACGCACACGCATGCGCGCGCACGCACGCACGCACGAACACACACACACACACACACACATATCTCTGGGTCGTTCTCGTGCTCCTTCATCTGTGGTGGCGTGAAGCACATGTACATAGTACACACAG